GCGCCATCCGGACCCCGCCAGGGACTTTCACCTCCTGCTGGGAGCTCGCGGAATAGCGCAGCGAAAGTGGCCTGGCAGGACAGCAGCCCGCTTCTCCCTCTTCCCTCTCTCTCTCACTGCCAGGGAGGAGGAAAGTGGCGCTCAGCGTCCCGAAAGCCTGGATCACCCCATCAGGCCCGTGTGGCGCCCTCGCTCAGCCGCGCACACGCGCGGGCGGGGTCAGGCGCGCAGCCACAGCAATCAGCGTGCGGGGGGAAGGGCGCCGCGAGCCTCGGGGGCTCGGCCGCCTAGAAACTCCTCCTCCTCCCTCCCCTCCTCCCCTGCTGATGGATGAGCCCAGCAGAGCCTGCTCCAGCCTGCGCTTCCCTTAGGGCAGAGAAGGCTGGAGCTAAAAGAAGGGAAAGGAAGTTGGGGCGCGGCCCGGGATGGGGTGGCGGGTGGACTTCTCTGGCCCGGGAAAAAGTGAGGTACTGCGAATGTGGCGCTCACTGCCGGGACTTGCAGTCTCTCCTTGCATCCTTCAAAGTGTCAGGGATCTCTGGAGAAGATACCGGTTTTATTTGGTTCCTGGTTTTTGATAGATATACAGATAAGCCCATCGCAGTCCCCGAGCACATATTCATTCTGCTTCAGTTTGGTATTAGTTTCTCTGTCTCCGATTCTGATTATCAAAAGATATGCTCCAGCAGTGTAGACAGGGTCTTGCCTCTTCCTCTCTACAGCTTAGAGCAGAGTGCCTTCCCCAGCTACCTATTTTCCATCGCTGCTGTTTCCCCCAAGATTCTCATGGTGTCAAGGATAGGATGGAAAGGATAGTGCTCAAGGTCTTGCATACATGCATGTGTGAGCTGCACCTGCAACCCTTGAATGCAGTCAGTGCAATCACCAACACAAGCTTGACACTCCTGTTACACTTCACTTTCCAATTAAAAGGTGAATTGCCCCTTGGGGGCTGTAGCTCCAATAGTAAAGTGTTTGCCTGACATACCCAGAGCCCTGGGTTTGATCCCAGCACCACATAAAACCAAGCATGGGGGAGGAAGGTCATTTCAAAATCAGCCCCCAGAATACCCTGCCTAACAACAAATAATAAACAAAATGTTTACTTAGCATTAAACTTTACTTTGCAAAATTACTCGCAGATGTCTGCGTGTGTACACGAGCATATACTTTGGCCAGAGTTTGAGGTCAGAAGACAACTTTCTCCCTTCCTACTACTTGGGACCTAGGACTCCAACTTAGGTAGTTCTTCAGGCTTGGCAGCAAGTGCCTTTACCCACTGAATTATGTCACCAGCCACTTCACAGGAAGCTCTTACAGGTGTTACAGCACATGGAAAGGCTGTGAAATGACTAGGGTTCAGAGACAGGTTTCCGGTGTTAACTGCTACTGGATAATCAGGGAACCTTTGCACAAACGGAGTCACCCTCCCTAGACTTCCTCCTAAAGTACTGGGATCTCAGGCTTTTAATGCTGGAGTTGAATGGCAGGCCCCACCACCACCCAACCCTGCCCCACTCTTTGAGTAGGTCTCATGTACCTTAGGCTGGCCTCAACTCATTAAGTAAGTAGTGAAGCTGCCCTTGAACTCTCAATTCTCTTGCTTCTGCCTTCCAGCTCCCAAGGTCAAGCCCAGCCAGCACACTGAATGAGGAGGCTTCTCATAGCATGACTTACATTATTTTTATTTTCATTTTGTGATGGGGTCTCAGGTAGCCCAGGCTGGTGTGGATCTATGTAGCCCAGGATGACTTTAAACTTTAGACCTTCCTACCTCCATCTTTTGAATCATGGGAGGATTACAGGCATGAGCCACTGCATCTGGTTTGATCTGGTGGGGTTGGACATGGGGGCTTCATGCATGTTAAGCAAGAACTCTACTGACTGGCTGAGATTAAGAAAACAGAAATATGTCTTTCTTTTTCTCTCATGTTTACATATGGTTACAGAGATTCATTGACAAAGCTTAGTATCATTAATCAAATGTGTTACTATGAAAATACCTTCATTTCGTATTTGTGGTGGTTTGATGAGAACAGTTCCATCTGTTTGGTGTTTGATATTAAAGACTGGTCTCTCAGCTTCCTACTATTGTGGGCATTGGCGATGTCTGCTGCACCTTCCAGGGGTTAAACTCAGGCAGGGGTAGCAAGTGCCTTTGCCTGCTGAGCCACCTCATTTGGCTGCGCATCAGCATTTGTTACCATAAAAGACAGGGCTTCCTTTGGTCTGAGGTAGTAACTTGATAAATTTCTTTGATCAATTGTTTCCTTCTCTATTTTTGTTCGTTTGTTTGTCTTCTGTGTTTGTTTGGTTTGAGGGAGCATCTCAAGTATCCTAGTTTGGCCTGCGACCTGACATGTAACAGAATGACCATGAACTTCATCAGCTTCGGATCCTCTTGTCTTCACCCCTTGGGAGTCTAGGCTTGAACTAACACATATCTGAGACTTCGTACATGGCAGACAAACATTTAAGCTAAAAAACCTTCTTTTTTGGTTTTTCAAGACAGGGTTTCTCTCAGTAGCCCTGACTGCCCTAGATCTCATAGAGAGCCACCTGACTCTGCCTCCTGAGTGCTGAGACAAAAGGTGTGTGCCCCCAAACCCCACTGGTCATATTTTAAGTTTTTAATCTTTTGGGGGGAAATTTTATACTTGAATTCTGTATTTACATCATTTCTACACCTCCTCTTTGTCTTCCAACTCCTCCTGTGTTTGTTCCCCCACTCCCTCTCAAATTCATGATCTATTCTTTAATTATTGTTTTATACACGCAGACACACATAGACACATATACAGGCACATATACATATATACATGCACACATATACACTCACACAGACACACACACATATACATACAGACACACACATATACAAAGATAGACACATATACATGCACACAGAGACACACATATACATGCACACATATACATACAGACACACATACACACACATGTATACACACAGAGATACACACATACCTACACACACGCAGAGACACACATATACATACGACAAATATATACAAATGCACAGACACAACACACAGATACACACATAGATACACATATACATAAACACACACATCCTCACATATACATACACACAGACACACACAGATACACACACATATACATACACACAGATACACACATGTATACTATACACACACATATATACATACAGACACACATACACACACAGATATACTCACACGTATACATACAAACAGACACACACAAATGCACACATATAGACACACACACATAAACACACAGAGACACACACACACACACAGGCACATGTGTGTTTGGGACTGAGCACTCAGAGTTGAATAACCTGCCATGGGCTCACCCCTAGGGAGCTCTCTTAGCAGCCATTAATTGCCTGCAGCTCTTCATCTAAGGGTAGGGCTTTGTGACATGTGCCCCATCCACGTTGGCATGCCAACAGGTACTGTCATTGTGCAGGTCTTATTTAGGAAAACAAATGGTCTCCCCCACCCACCCCTAGAGAAACTGTAAACAGAGAATTGGCGTTTTTTAAAGCATACTTTATTTTATTTGCACAAGAAATGTTTGACAGCAGAGTCTCAGTGATTTACAGTGCCTGTGTCTCTCTCAAGGAATGGTTCCTCCCCTAAGCAGGAACCCCTACTTACAATGATTCAGTCTTGTGGCACGTCTCCAGATCCCCCTGATAAGCAGACAACCAAGCAAATGCATAATGACCTGTTTGTCAGTAATGTATATTTTAGGTTCTTCCAGGCCCTTGTAGGAGAATTCCAGTCTTCCAAGAGGCCCAGTCATGGTAAACGCCTACTGTTGTTTCTAGTTTTCCTAAGTCCTAGTATAGAACTCAGCATGTGCTTTGTACTTTATAAACTTAATTCATTGGGCCCTGAACCGGGGCTGGGGGATGTAGCACTGTTGGTAAGGGGCTTGCCTGGTATGCATGAAGCCCTAGGTTTTACCTTTAGGACCATGTATGCTGGGCATGACAGCAGACGCCTGTATTCCCAGCACATGGGAGATGGGGAGAGGATGGTCAGAAATGCAAGGTCATCCTTGACTGTGGAGGAGTGTGAGGCCAACCTGACTGTTCTATTATCCTCCCTTCACCAAGTATAAAATGATGCACAGAGAGGTCTGAGCCAGGTGACTCCCTGGCTGCCGAGTCCCTCTTCTGAAGCTGCACTTTGGACATGGGTCACAATGAGTCCCTATGCAGTGATAGAAAAAGTCTTACTTTGTTGTTCTGCTTTTCTAAAGCTCAACTCTTTGGAGGCTTCACAATGTAAAAAGAGTTCTTTGAACACAACTGTTGCCTTCCAGTA